CACAAGGCACCCTTTGGTGTCGGTGAGGGCCATCGGCTGCCGCCCATCCCCACCGACCGCTCTCGCGTCGCACAGCGGGTCATCGAGGCTGATCGCAAGCAAAAACAACAGGTCAGTCAGTCAGTCAGTCACTCAGTCAGATGATTGATGTGATGGAGAGGGCAACGAAGGAGCGAGACACACAAACTCGTGTGTGTATGTCGCGTCTCATGTCACGTCATGTGATGTGTATCGATCATCAGGCTGTGTTGCGTGCCAAGGAGGCTCGTTGTCGGCGGCAGCAGCAGGAGGCCTACGGGAGACTCGTCCAACAGTACTATGCACCTGCCCCCAGACACCGCCAGCAATACTACAATCAAGGGGAGGAGGAGCCGTTCAGCCCCTATGTGGACGAGCAGCTGTATGGAGGCATGACGAGGCTGCCCCCGATCGTACTCACGGGGACAAGCCTGCGAAGGGCGGGGTGAGTGAGGTTTGCTCAGTGCATGGGGCTTCTGGATAAGTCATTCATGTTAGGTGGTCTTGCTCTTCGTGTTTAAGCCTTTCGTCCTGTGACATAATACATACGTTGTCGTCCGACCTCCATGTGCACGGACAATGGCTTTCCATGCATTGCGTGGTATGCATGTCAACCACTATCTCTCCCTAGACACACTTCCACTGTCTGATGCTCAATTCTACTACGAATTTGGCCTCGCAGAACTCATAGACCTCTCAACCTACCATCAGCCAATGCACTGGCATTTGGTCGCCTTTTCGAGTACGCCTCCTCCAGAGTGACTCCTCGTACTGCGACAATCCTCCGACGAAACCCGACACTACAGACAGGATAAGAATGGCCGTGAATCCACTTGTCAACCTCCTCGTTGAAGTGTCTTACAGTAGCCTTCATTCAGCTGTTTCCGACTCATGAGCACCACGCGGCTGCCATCCGACGAGTCACGTGGTGCAGGGAGACGCCGCGTGAAGTTTGTATTGGCAGGGAGGCTGAGCTGCTGTCGCCAGCGAGCCCCTTCATCTTCGGACTCGTTGCGGTTCTGACCAAGATCCACGACAACTCCGAATCTCGTTAGACTTAATTGCGGGGCTTCACGAAGAGCCTACATCGGATTAGTCAGGCATTTACACAAGCTGCAGCTGCCTTCAGCAGACCTTGAGTTCGCCTTTGGCTCTCTGCTCGTTTTCCACAATGTACACAACGCCCGATACATGCTGGCCATTGGCATGCGTCAACACCTCTGAGAAACAAAGTAATCAGAATATCACTTTGGTGAATCTGTTCTCACCGTCAAAAGCAACCTTCTTGATTCGGCAAGATTGGACGTTGTGAACCTCTTGGGACTCGGCATTGTATCCTGCAGGACACCAGACAGTAAGGGGCATGAAAGAAGGATACCCGAGACATGTGTTCGCACCAGCCCGTTGAGATATCGCGAAGTTTGGAAGAAGCTGTTCATCTCCGCCCACAAGCAGCACGCAGCGAAACGGGTCGGAGACCGACCGCACAGATCCAGAGAGCTGGAGGCTCAGCTGGAAGGAACATGGATCAAATGACTCTCTGAGCTGCTCCATCGTCTCCTGCATCAACCTTATCTTGGCCTCGCACTCGCGCTGCTTGTTTCCGTGGTCGGGATGAATAGTTCGAGCGTGGAGTACACCGAGGGCATCCTGCAGCCTGGCGTAGTTGTCCTCAAACTGCCGCAGCACCTCCATCGACGGACCCGTGCCCTCAAACATGCGGTATTTGTCGGCAATCGGGGCCATGCGGTTGTTGAGCCGCTCCGCATCGGCGAGCCAGTCGCCGCTGTATGTGAGGTTCAGCTTGTCCTTGGTCTCGTCGAAGGTGGGCTTGATGTCGTGAAGCCGCAGCGGGACACGATACTCTCTAACGACGTTGCTGAGGGGTTGCTTGATGTCCTTCCACGTCGGCTCCAAGCGCTGCGTGGTCTGATTGAACTCCACATCCATCCGTTTCTCGACCACGATCTGCTCGTTTGCAGCCATTCGTGATTTCAGCGCCTTGATGATGTCTTTGTTGGTCTTCTGGATCGTGTTGATGCTGCGCAGCAACTCGTCATGCGAGCGGCGAGTAGGTGATGGATCCATGGGTTGCGCTTGCTGAGGCCTGGGTAGGAAAGCCGCGATGGGCGAAGGCTCTGGAGCAGGCTGCCGGCCTCCTCCGGTGTCCCCAGACATCGAAACGGAGTGTCGGGGACTGCCCCCTTTGTTGCTTTTTGGGGCCAGTGCCAGAGTTCTGCCTTTCCGACATCAAACATCTCACCAATGCATGTTATCGACCTACCTGAGCTGCCAGCTCGAGCTGGGGAGCACCAAGAGGGCGTGGAAAGGGACGCTCACCGGCGGAGTTTGTCGGTGCCTACGCAGGGACAATCGCCGGAGAGGAAGAGGAGCTGGATAGAGAACAAGGGCGCCACCCTCTCTTTCAACCTCGGCAACACACACGCTGAGATCACCCTCCCCTACCGCCGCACCTGCAGCCTGGAGGTGCCTCTGGACCAGTATGTGGCGCAGGCCAAGCCCAGCGAGACGTTTGATCGGTGTCCGAGGAACGTGCGCTTCGTCACGGCAAGCCTCATCAGTCTATACCTCGTGAGATGCGGGGAAAGAGGGGACAAGTGCATGCAGGGTGGAGATGTGGTGTGTGTGTGTCGTGTCTCCCTCTCTCTCTTGGCTTCAGATGGTGTATGTGTTGTTCACCCTTGAAGGTCCCGCCAGCCGTGGGGAGAGGTGGCTGTACTTCATCATCGCCGCCATGACCCTTCTCTCATTCGTCATCACCGTGTACGCACATCGACAGGACCCCCCAACACGCATACAGACTTTCTGTCTCCGCTGCTGACGTTCATGTAGGTCTGCGGCTCTGACAGGCGACGGTGTGGACGCCCGCCTGAGCACACAGGTGGCCTGGGGCGCCTTCCGCATGCTCCTCTTCCAGGTGGTCGTCCCCATCGTCATGGCCTTCTCGCCGTGGTCCCTCCGGGGCCTCTTCGGCCTCCACACCGTCCTGGCATTCACATTCGCCCTCCTCCCATACGACAGCTTCTCCGCCCCGCGCAAACTGACGAGTGACGACGACAGGCACTGCCCTTTGTGCCCCCCAATGCTCACCGCCAGATGCCCATACACACTTCGGCTGTTCGTGAGCACGTGGGCGCCGATCCTGGCTCTGACGGCCTCCACGAGGGCTGCGGCGGGTCTGGATGAGGGCGGCAAGGGGTCGGCGCTCGCCGTGATGGTCATGTCCTACATGCAGGCCATCAACATGCACCTGGCACTGGTGGCCATCGAGCCTTCGGCGGCATTCACCTCTCTCAGAGCCATCATTGCCACAGGCAGGCGGGGGAAATGCACACACGACCTCGAGGCACAGAGGCAGCGAGACACTCTGTCATCTCTGTCTGTTTGTGTGGGTGGCTTTTGGTGTTTGTCTGTTAGTGACGGACATTCCTGTGTCTGTGGTATTGATCCTGGGCTACCCCCTCCCTCCCGAGGAGTATCGGCTCTGCGGCTCAGCTGCCTTCGCGTCCCTCGTGCACCTCTTCCACGCCCTCGTGGAGAGCCTGGTCTTCGCACTCTTCCTCAAGCCGCCCACGGTCGCCCTCCCACCACCAGTAGCAGCAACAGCAGCGGAAGAGACGGGCGATCGGGAAATCGAGCCCCACGAGAAGGACCCAGCCCTCGGGAAGGAGGGCGGGAGGAGGGGCAGGGCCTCATTCGACTCACAGGCCAGCACCGCACTCGACGAGACATTCGATGGGATACGCAACAGGGGCTCGGTGGACTCTCTCGGTGCCCTCGAGTTCACTTTTGATAAGGCGGAAGAGACGGGCGAGGCGTACGCCGACTATTTCTCGCCTCGGCCGCCTGCGGCGAGTGTGATATACGGCCGGGTGGGGGGCCGCCTGGAGCCCGTGGTTGAGGAGGGTCTGAGGTACACCAACGAGGGGATGGCAGTGACTGCGGGCGACACCAGCTTCATTGGGAGGAGAGGGGTGTGAGTGAGACACGCATTCCGCGATCTCGTGTGGGTGGTTGAATGAAGTGGGGTGCATGTCTTGGTTGCTTGGGGGCGTCGGGATTGTGTCTTTGTTGTGTTGAATGCATGAAGAAATATTGACGTGGGGGATTCGACAATTTGTTGCTGCATACATACATGGAGGGTCCTACAGTGGCCTTGACCAAAAGCGCTCAATACACGTCCACATGTCGGCATCTCTGTCTCATCTCTGTCTATCACGTCACATCACACGCCACCCACGCAACACAGCACAGCTTTGTCTCGCCTCACTTGGCCGACTCACTCACTCAAAGGACTGTCTGTCTGTCTGTCTGTGTGTCTGGTCAGCGTCTCCACCTAATCTCTGCGGCAATGGCGAGGTGGTCTGAGGGGTACATCACCGACGGCAGCCCATGGTGCGGACGGATGTCATCTTCACTGATTGGGGGCAGCACACGACACACCTGCCACACACGCATGTGAGAATATCGCCGCTGCAGAGAGACGATGAGGGAGAGCGTGCTGACCGACCTGGAAGCATTCGTCGACCATGACATAGTCGAGCGTGGCCCTGAAGTTGTTGACCCAGTTGGTGAACTTGGGCGCACACCCCGACGCCTCATACGCGTCCACCAACCGCACATCCGCACTCAGCTCGACGCCCCAGCCGTCAGGCGGCACACACCCACGACCATCCCGACCGTCACTGCCACCAGCACCGCTGTTTTTGACCCAGTGAGGCAGCGGAGGAATGGATGACGACACAGCCGATGACGGGGGAGGGGCTGGGGATGGGGGTGGTGCATCGTCAGATGAGGGGGCGGGGGGGAGGGAGTCTGCTCCTGTTGGGGGGGCCGGGGCGGGGGCGGGGGCGGCAGACGGCTCAGAAGGGTGCCCCTCGGCGTTCTCTTTCTCGATCTTTTGAGCCTCCTCCACTTGTTCCTCTTCGTCGACGTCGCGGCTCCAGTGGAATTCGGGACCTTGACACGAACACAACACGCACAGTGAGTGACAATGGGGCCGGTCGATGTACTGTACTGTCCGCATGTGCCTGACGCGGCTTCTCACCGGTTTTCCAGTCGCGGTGATCCGACTCGACATAGCCCGTTTTGAGCAGCTGGATCGCAGCTGCAACACATACACCAACACACAGCACAGCACAGAGAGGCAGATAACCCACATCCCACCTGTGCGATCCAGCCACCCACCCACCCCAGCGTCTTGTCTTCCTCACCAGTCCATGGCACTGAGTTGAGGTCTCCGCAGAGTACCACACCCACACGCTGGCCGGCAGGGCTCCCATCACACTGCTGCTGCTGCTGGGCGGCCTCTTCGCACCTGGCCTTGAGCTGGTGAATACGGTGCAGCAGGAGGGCCGTCTGGAGCAGCCGGATGTGCTGCATTCGGACCACAGACAACACAGAGAAGGAACGGGAATTCGGTCGGTCGTTGTCTGTCTGGGGGAGGGAGGGGTGGTGGGTTCGACTGGCTGACCTTTGCCTGTGGATGGAAGAACAGGTGCGTGTTGGCGACGATGAGCAGCCGGTGTGTGACCTTGTCTTGCAACAGCAGCAGCTGGAAGATGGTCGTCAAGTGCGGCAGCACTTCATCCTTTACACACGCACACGCACACGCACACGCACACACACAAACCAAACGCACCTGCATGTGTGCGCCGCGTCCGTGTGGACGTAGGCAGGCTCTGTGTCGGCGGCTTACGAAGAAGTGTGGCCACTTCTGCCTGAGTACATTGACGGCATCCTGCAAAGCTGGCTCGGACAGCTGACGACCAAACACACACACACACAGAATGAAAAGACACACGTGCATCGATCGTCTCATATGTGCCGTGGGGCGATCCGATCCCACCAGTGAGTCCCTGAAGGTGATGTCGTGCTTCTCGAGCAGGTCGAAGCGGTCCCGCCGCAACAGACAGGCACTGCCCTCCTGCAGCTTGCCGGCCTTCAACTGCACACACACACATACACACACACCATGATCAGATGCACACACCTGGCTGTGTCGTGATGGTTGTGTCTGTCTCACTGACTGTGATGGTGGGATGATATATGTCGCCGAAGAGGGGCACCAACGTGTTCTGATAGAATGACAGCTGCCTGCGCAACACACACACAAAGAGAGAGGTGCCCTCCCTCCCTCCCTCCCTCCCTCTCGCCACCCCCTTCCCCTCCCATTGCGTTGCGTGTTTACGTTTCCTGCAGGCACATGAGGTCACAGTCGAGCTCGAGCAGCTCCCGGGCGATCATCGGCCGCCTGTAGCCAATGTCCAGGTGCTCCTGCAGGCAGTAGGGAAACATCTGGAACTGAGCCACAGGCGTCCTCGCGAGGATGGGGGCCAGCACGTTGAACGAGCACACCCGGAGCGGCGGGGAGGCACGCTCTTGCTCCTGCTGCTGGTGGTGCTGGTAGCCGAACCAGGCCCCCCACCCGCCCCACAGGCTGTCTTGCGTCGCTGATGTGTCCTTGGGCTGCTGTCTGGCGAAGGTTGCGATGCGCCTCTCGCGCCATCCTGCTGGGGGCGGCTGCTGGATGGCCTCGACCACTGTGGATGAGCCGAAGGCCGGGAGGGAGGGGTGGTAGGCTGCATTGCATTATCAGCGACACAGACAGGCATTAGGGTAGAAGGGAGCGGGGGATGTGGTGGGGGTGCTGTGCTGTGTATCGCTGGCTGACCTCTTAGCTCGAGGCGTGATCCAATGTCTTCGGGAGTCGGCACGTACATCTAGCCGAGCCGACACACACGCAGCCATACAGACAGCCAGCCAGCCAGACAGACAGGAGCCAAGGATTGCCCACTGGTGGATTCCTTCATCGCCTGCTGGGTTGTGAGGAGGGCGTGCGTGTGCGTGTGGTGTACCTTACCGGTCCGTAGGCGAGCCAGTGGGGGGGCGAGGTGTGGTGGTGACCCTTCCGATACCTACACACACACACACAGGCAGGAGAGTCCACATGACATACATGTCTGTCTGTGACGGCCCCTCTTCCTTCCTCCCTGTCTGCAGGCCATCAGCACTGACCACTCAAACACAAACGTGCTGGGATCCTCAAACTCGGTCTCGACAAACGGGATCACCGGACACCTACACGACAGGCAGGCAGGCAGTCGTGCCTCATCCATCCATCCATCCATCCATCTATCTATCCGCCATCCATCCATAGCTCACTCACAAAACATATATACCCGACGATGACGGCCTGGTTGACCTCGAGTGTCTTGACGGCCGGGGGGTTGACATGGATGGCATACAGCTGGCCATTGAGCGTCAGTACTGACGCCTCGCTGAACGCCTGTGCGCACCCCGTACTCTCGGCCACCGCACTGCGGTCTTCACGCAACAGGCTGACCGCCACGTCCATCTCGTCGCCATTGGGCGGCTGGCCCTCCTCATCCCCCCCGCCCCCGCCACCGTTGCCCTTGCTGTTGTTCTTGCGCTTGCTTTTGCTTTTGGGTTTGAGGGCCTTCTGGCAGTTGATCTTGATGCGCGACAACATTCGCTCCAACGGCTCTGTGCACACACACACAGACACACACACACTCAGCGAGAGAGAGAGAGAGGAATGGGACTGCCTGTTTTGTCGCGCGTGTGTCGTCATGCCACTACCGTCTTTGGGTCTGTTGAGGTTGGTCATCTTGCCTCCCCAGGTGTACGAGAACAGGAGGCTCGGCTCCTCATCCACAATGCGCACCACCGCAGGCAGCACCTCCCCGCCTCCCATCCCAACACCTCCACTGTCCATCACACAGCCAACGCCGCCAACCTCTCCTTCACTCAGCGGCCCTCGGGCACACAGCAGCGACGTGGAAGCAGCGGCAGCAGCAGCACTCCTGTGAAGTCGGCGGGCTGGAATGAGCAGCGACAGGGCGGGAGGGGCACCGATGAGCGCGAGCAGTGGCCGACATCGCATAGAACTCAGTGGCCCGACAAGTCATGAGTCGGATACCAAGCAAGAGGTGGCCTCCTTCGACATCGATCACCGTGCTGTTAGGGGCATCTGCGGATAATGGACTTCGCAGGTGAAGGCAAGGGATGAAGGATCTTTGCAAGGCTGCCTGGAAAAAGTACGCAGGCTCTGCAGATCTCTCAGGGCAGCAGCGGTTTCACGGAGCACCCTAGACGACCTGACGGTGGTAGAGTCTAAAGAGAGGTGACTCTGCCGGAAGGGAAGATGCTGTCCCGCCTGCCGACTCTGTCGCGTTGCGCGGCGCAGCGCCTGCTTCGTCCGTCGTCGTATCGTGCGTCTGGTGTGGGTGCCGTCCGGCTGTTCGGCGGTGCGCACGACGGTCCGGTTCGTTACGACCCGATGCCGCGGCACATGGACGAGGCGGATCCGCCCAACGTGCGGCACATCCAGCCCAAACCCCACGGGGAGCAGGAAATCTACCAGCGGGGAGCCCACCCCAATGTGCACCCCGACGCGCAGGACCAGGGCTACGACGTGCACCACCTGCCGCGATCCAACTTGGACTACGTCGATATTGACGGTGCGCAGGGGACCAACTGGTGGGACAATCACTATGACAGCAACCACTTCGACGCCATGGAACCCCGCCCGCCGCCCATCCACACCATCGAGATCAACGGACAGACCTACATCAAGCCGGCGGCCGAGCAGGAACAGCTCTACTCCGTCGAAGAAATGTTCTACATCCCACAGGTAATGTGGGGGGGCGGCGCGCGCACACGCTGATTGATTATCTGCGTCAGATCGCCTTTCTGTCTGTCTGTCTGTCTGTGTGTGTTGTGTGTTGTGTGTTGTGTGTTGTGTGTCACATGTGTCCACCAGGATCACGTTCCCCTGTGGGCGCGTCGTCGCGTGCACATTTGGTGCAACTACCCGATCATGCTGCGGGCCGAGTTTTGTTTCTTCTACGTGCCCACCTTCATCGTCTTCTCGCTGCTGCTGCCGGCCTTCTGCATGCTCTACATGTGGGACGAAGCCGTCTACACTACCATGACCGTCAAGTGCATCGGCAGACAGTGGTAGGGACCTGACCTGCCCACCCCACATACACCCATGGATGGATCTGCGGACACACCCACACGCATTGTGTGTGTGTGTGTGTGTAGGTATTGGGTGTATGAGGTGGAGACGCCCACCGACGACCAGGACGAGGAGGAGTGACCGAGGGGCGTGCGCGACCAGCAGCGTAGTAGTGGTTGGTTGATGCGTTTGTGGCGGGTCGGGGTGAGGGATAGGGGGAGGGATGGCTGCGGCACGACGGTCAGTCCGCACTCACTGTGACGGGGAGAGCGAGGGCCAGGGGCGTTGCAGTGCAAGTGGGTTTTGCCACTTGTTTGTTGTGTCTGTCGTGTATGGTGGGGTGGTCGGGGTGGGTGGGCCCGGGTGCGTGTCTGCACCGCACCCTACCCTGCATCACCCCACCGTACCGTCCGTCCAATTGTTCCTGTCAGTCCATATGTCCGTGTGAGTGTGTGTGTACCATATAGACAGAAAGACTGACGTGGTGCTCGGGTGCTCACAGACAGACAGACAGACACCGACAGAGCAGAGCAGAGAGAGAAGTTTGCTCCCTTGGTTCGTCGTGCGTGAGTGAGCGAATGACTGACTGCGGTTGGGTTCCCTGTGTGTGTGAGCGTGTGTGAGTGAATGAATGGTCGGACGAGCAAGGTGAGTGAGGTAGGTGGCCAAGTCAATCCAATCGTTAACTGCTTTCTTCACGGTCGATACGATAGGCAAAGTTTTCGTTCTTCTCGCCCAATTCCTGTTGGTTGCCCAACAGAACAGCACAGCGCAGAGAGGTATCCCTCAGCGCCGCTTCATTCATTGAGAGACAGACGAGACAGCCCCTCCTCTCCCGCCAGCTGGCCAAGCTAGACAGACAGGTCGAGAACTAGGTGTGTCCCCACACCACAGCCCACTTCACGAGTCTCTCTCTCTTTATATGCCATTATACATCAGCACATCAACCACCATCTGGGCTCCCACGGGCCTTTCATTCTCCACCACCCACTGCCGCCCCACGACAACTCGCACAGCCTCACACACCTCACTGTGAAGCCCCGAGGACACGCACTCTGTCTCAAACGGAGCGAAGCCATTATCCGCCTTGCCACCAGCTATCGTGTCAATGGCCCCAGCCAGCCACAGCAGCCTCGCCTGTGGGGGCAGACGGCGCAGGAAGCCGACAGGGCATTTAAAGTCGTCCCCTGACTCACTCGCCAATCGCATCAGACTCCACACCAATTGCAGCAGGCTGGCACGGTCAAGCAGCAACAGCACATCCAGCAGCCCCTCGGCACCCCTTGCCGAGGCCAGCCGCTCACTAGCAGCGCTCTCCAATAGCCGCGAGTAGGGCTCAACTGACGGCGCGAGAGCCCCATACGTCCACATGAGCCGCGCCAGCGATGAGCCGTCCATGTGTGAGATACGGCGCACAAGCAGGTCGACCAGACGCGCGTCGAGCAGCCCCACGGTGCTGTCACCATAGCTGCCATCACGTGCCGCGCAGCTGAGGTGCCTGACCGACCATGCGAGGCGTAGAAGGCACTGTGTGTCGGTGAGGGGGGACAGGGCAGATGGCTGCAGGAGGGAAAGGGCCATGGCTGAGAGAAAAGACGGTGGTGGGGAGAAGCGGAGTCTTGCCAGAGCCCAGAGAGCGGGACTGAGGTCGGCGACCGTCAACTCATCCGACCGACGCACCAGCTGACACATACACACCATACACACAGAGAGAGGCACAGATGAACGCGAAACTATTTGTTCCCTCAGTCTGTCTCTCCCTTCCTGTCTGACCTCATGTGCGGCGCGCTGCACAAATACCCCCACACCCATTCCTTCCCCCATGCCGCCTCCGTCCTCCCCAATCGCCCCACCGGCCCGCGCCAGTGCCATGAGGCACCCCACCAGACCATGTATCGATACACCCTCAGCACCACCACAAAGCAGATGCCGCAGCACATCTCGCATGGCCTCTCGCCGCTTCATCGCCACTGCCGATGAGAGTGAGGGTGGGCTCTGGGAGATGCCGTGGGCGAAGGCCTGGATGAGCAGGGATGTGTCCGCAGGGGGCAGCTGTGGGTGTGGCTGGTGTGTGAGGGTGGATGTGAGGGACGGGGAGGCCTTGTGCAGCAGGGAGGGGGCACACGGCAGCTCCAGGACAGCACAGGACCACAGCAGCCGAGACAGGCTCTGAACGGAACACAGAGAGACACCACACCAGCACTTGTCTTCAAATTCCTTGTCCATCCATCCATCCATGAGTGCGTGTGTGCCGCCCTACAGGTCCGTCGAATGCGGCCAGATGTGTGGCTGCAGCCATGCCACCCTCGTCGAGCAGCCCCCTGCGCCACGCCACCTCCCTCTCCCTCTCCTCTGGCCGCCCCCCACCCCCAGCTCCATCCCCACCTGTCCACTCACGGTGCTTGGCCGACGCCCACATGACATTGGACAGATCCCTCGCCCGCAGCTGCCCCCACCACTGCCGATCGCTGATGGCACACAAAATGGCGTCAAAGAGCTTCGAGTCCACCACACCGGCCGACGCGTACGACCACATCAGGCTGGCCAGGTGGTGGGGCTCGAACGGCATCACCCCTGGGGCGATCATGCCGTCACTGCCGTCGCTCTCATCTGCCCGTCGGTCACCGAGCAGCCGCAGCAGCCGACGGGAGGCCTCACGGAAGAGTTTCTCATCGACTTTCGGCGCCATTGCCGCGTAGCAGCTGAGCACCTGTGCCAAAGCGATGGGCTCGAACTTGCGAAGACATCGCATGGCCACCGGCCGGGCTGCGTCGATAAAGTCCTCGCAGGCCGTCCTCACTCGTCCATCGGCCACTAACTCTCTCAGGCGGCCAGCGGCCCACAGTGCCATCGATAGCTCCGAATGCGCGAAGGAATCCACGCGAGCCGTACTCTCGGTCGCAAGCACGACACACCAGGAGCACATGAGCTCGGCGTTGGTCTGAATCAGAGTGTCTGTCAGCCGAGTGGCGCACCACAGCTGATTCGACAGGGATTCTGGTGCGAATGCTGCTGGATAAGAGGCAGAGGGGGCTGGGTAGGAGGGAGGGCTTGGTGACGTGAGGCGCGCAAGAGAGGCGTCGAGGACGGCCGTCATCCACGCGGCGGACGGTCGGTAGCCTCCATGCACGACGCTGAGCAGGAGGTTGCTGAGGTTCAGAGGCGTCATCTGGCTCACATGCCGCAAGCTGGCCTCGGTCATCTTGTGCCACACGCCGTCGTGACGGACGCGGCACTTGCCCATCGCCAGAAGAACCATTGCCACATCCTCGCCACGGAACAGAGGTAGTGTCGACGCAGGCGCGTCCATCAGGAACGTCGCAATAGAGAGCACTAAATGCGGCACGGGGTGGCGGTCATGGTGCTGTTCGCCACACAGCTCCATCATTTTGACGGACGCCCATGCCGTGACGGCCAGACTTAGAGGGCTGAAGGACTCCCAACAGACGGGCTGGTGGCCATGAAGCATCTCCACCATCTTGCGGTAGATCCCGTCGCACCGCCCGACACCGTATTTCTTCAGCGCTACACTCGCCCACAGGACGTTGCCAACCTCCCGGGGCCGCAGCTGTGCGAGTGCAATGCCATGGTCCAAGCATCCACCACCGTCCTCCATGACGCCCACAAACCTATCAAATCGCTCGTCCTCATCGAGAGAATAGCCAGGGCGGCGAAACGAAGGCACGCCAGTATCCGGCGATGAGCCGTGCCGCTTTCTCTTGTTTCCAGCAGCCTCCGCCTGCAGCTGTTTGGCGATGCGATGAATCCCCGTCGCCCAATTGACCGAATTGAGCACCGACAGGTGATTGGCCAGCAGCTCCAGGAGGCCGTCGAGCGATGTGGCCGTCTCGAGCCGCCTGTTGAGCACCAGTTGCTCTGCAGACGGCGCAGATGTGGCCGCGAGAGGCAGAGATACCGGCGACGGATGGCTGCGGCTCACATGATGTGACACAGCAGCACCACCGATGAAGGGAGTTGATGAATCAGCCGGCTGCAGTCCCATCGCGGTGTGGCTGGTGCGTCGTGTTGCGTGGCAGACGGCGCCCCTCGCAGGGAGTGGACGCAGTGCAGAAGGGATGTTCTCGATTGAAGATCTCCGGAAAATCATAACAAACAAGGCTGTTCCTTCTCATTGCTCTGCCCTTATACCCCGTACCTCTCTCCAATCGCAGCTCCAATCCATTGCGAGCTTAGGAAGTGTCCACCAATATCCTTGAACAATGAGGAGCATTTGCTTGACCGCATCGATGATGTCGGTGATCTCTCTATCTCATGCTTTCCTCCCTCCTCCTTACCCGACCAGCGCCGCTCTTTCATCATCACGGTGGCTCCGGAGCAGCAGCAACGCCCAGATCCTCCAAATGTGGGCACCACATGCGGCCGAGCCATCGTCGTCACGAAGAGAGTGGATCAAGCAGAACAGCGCTGGCGCTGCTTTGGTGGCCGTTCCATTGCTGCTTGTGAGAGGGGCGGATGCGGCCGAAGGAGAGGACGTGAAGCTCTTCACTGATGTGGAGCCCTTCGTGGAGGAAGTCTTGCAAGCCAGGTCAGGACACGGCCGCCTCTCACTCACTGACTCACTCACTCACTGAAAAACTGGATGGTCGTGTCGGCTGCTGCATGGGTCTCTTCTATGCGTCGTGCAGGACGGCCTTCAGTCGGATTCAGCCTTTCATCGATGACAAGGTGCGTAGGGGCCAAGGTGCCAACGGCTCACTATCCCATGCGTTTGTTGACCTGCCTGACTGCCTGCCTCCCTGCAGGACTACACGTCGGTTCGGAGCCTCCTGCGTGCCGGAGCGATGAGCAGCCCCCGTGTGTCGGTGTTTCGCATCATCAAGCGCCTCAAGGGCGACGACAAGAAGGCCCTTGAGGCGGCCTACGGCGACTGGAAGAGCGCCATCGACGCCTTCGACAAGAAATGCACCGAAGGGGAGCGATATGGGCTGGAGGGGGACAGTGAGAGGGAGTGGCGGAGAATGTGGAGCGAGCTGAGGACCAAGTTTGACACGATGGTGGTGGCGCTGCCATTCAGGGAGGATGTGGAGAACAGACTGGCAGCCAGACAGACCGGGGGCAGATAGACACATGAATAGATACAGAGGGACGATGGCCGGCCCGTGCCGATTGCTGTGCCTCTACGCCCGCCAGCCGTTACTTGCTTGCCGGATCTTAGCAATGCAGAGCCGCGAGTGAGCGTAGAGGCACATCGAACCGGGCGACGGACGCATTTGTCAGGTTTGGTTCATGCATTGGTCGGTCGCTGCTGAGTGGGGAGTGCATGGCATGCATTGATTGATCGCATTCGTGGGTGGGTGCATTGCATTGAGTACGTGGCCACACACACATGTGTCCGTGTGGAACGAACGGCGGGACGGACGGATATTCGTGTGGTGTGTTATGTACATAGACAGACATTGCTTTAAGCCAGCCAATAGGGACGAGCAACGACATTAATGAAGTGGATGAATAAATTTCACCACGCCCAGACGCGGTCCTGTCCATCACCTATCACGCACGATAACCACTTCCGTCCCTCGATGATTGATAATCCCGCACAAGTAGCTAGCTGGGGGTACGTAGTCGGCCAGATTGCCCCTCGTGCATGTCAATGTCTCATTGGTGCTAGGCGACCGGCATGACAGATAGATAAGTGGGCTCTTCGGGTCATCGAGAGGGTGTGGTGTATGTATGCCACGGATCATGACACGACGACTCAAAAGGAGTCCTTGTACGAGATGTGTCATCTGTGTCTCCTCTGGGAGGAATGAGAAAAAGACAGAAGACAGAAGCGCAGTAAGAACGGGAAAACAGTCGTGCCGATATAAAATGTAGCCAGCGATCTGGGCGGCCCTTACCCACCCACTCACTCGCTCATACTACCCCAGTCCAATCACAACCCTCCCTTGGGTGCGGGTGTGTCTCCTCTGCTTGTGAGTGCGCTGGGAGAAGTAAGGAAAGGACGGAAGCGCAGTAAGAAAGGGAAAACACTCGTGCCGATATGAAATGTAGCCAGCGATCTGGGCTGCCCTTGCTGTTGGTGTGGGGTCCGCCACCTTGGCCCGTTGATACTCATATACACGTTGTACTTGTTTGGGTCCAAGACGGCGGCCAGCCCTCTACCTGAGCATCGAGCTCCGCCAGAGCCGCCTTGAGACGTGCTTGTTCTTCGTAGAATTTTGGCCACGCGAAGTGGCGCGTCGTTCGACTCATCAGCTGAGCGATAGACTAACTTCGCGATATCATGGGTAGGCGTAAGCGACAATCTTCCCTTTGTCTATTGTTTCTATGGCCTTGACGCACTCGAAGTACCCCGGGAAGAAGGCGCTCTCGACCTTGTAGATGAAGGCGTTGCTGAAGCAACCGACAGACAGACAGACAGACAGATACACACCACATACATTCACCACACCATCACACCATATTCGTCACTCACTGACCTGGAACGAATATGATGAAGCTCTTGGTTGTGTCGGTTGCCCTCACTTCGCGCAGCAGCCTCTTGTGCTCGACTTCTGCACGCACAGACAAGCATGGCATGCATGGCACTCTCATCCATCCATACCTTTCTTCTGACTCACCGAGCAGGGCTTTCGCCACATGCAGGATGTCTACGTCGTGACATAGTTGTACAGTCTTGGGGTCGCTCTTGTGGAAGAAGCCTTCCCCTCCGCTGACGATGAATGGGTCGAGCAACCTCGCGGCCTCAGCCGGCTCCAGCTGCACCAGCATACACACAGGCACACACAAATACGCCAGGCAACACATATACAGATGCATGCGTGTATGTATACGTCGAATTGCTTAATTGCTTGCCTTGACGGCTGTCCGATGGATGAGGTCCTTCACCAAGGCCGGTGCGAGCCTGTCAGTCACAAACACACGAGACACGTGCCATACAAACACACGTATGTATGGCAGGCATATATGTACATGTGTGTGCACGTGACGTACATGTCTATGAGTCGTGTGTCCGAGCCGGGGCTCATGACGGTGTCCAGGCAGGCCGCCTCGATAGCATGGCGACGGCCGCGGACGTGCACGTGTGCACACGCCGTGCTGGGGGACGACACGAAGTCACGAATCTCGCCTGAATTAATCAGCACAGAATGGGAACGGACCAGCCACAGACAGAGGCCAGTCACATCATCTGTTGTTGACGCTCGACGCTCACTCACCCATCTGTGCAGTGGCCGACATGAATACGAACTTCTGTTCGCGACCACGGACAGACCTTGACAGTAGGTCCTTGACCATCTTCTGCAGACAGACAGACAGACAGGCAACGTATGGATACCAACGTGCAAATTAATGTCACGTCGTGCACCCATGCAGATCGAGTGTGAGCTTACCAGCACGAATTGGGTATCTTGATCCTTCTGGTGGATCTCGTCGATAATCACAAACTTGTACTTGTCTATCTTTTGGTAGTGGATGTACTGACGGAGAACACCTGCATGCACAAAGTGCCAAGGACATACTTACAGTACTTACATGCATGCACACATACATACGTACACACGCACAAACGGCCACAGAAGTAAGTGTAGACGCGACATACGTGACCGCCGTGACCACTAGGAATTGGGTCTTGGCACTCTTGCAGGGCTCCTCCAAACCGATGTGGCAGCCCACGAAGTCGCCCACCTTGCCATTTCCCAGGCCATGGGGCCACAAGCCGCCGAACTCACCTGCCGTGCGCCTGATGGTATGAACCGATCCAATCCACACACACACACACACACACACATATTGTCAAGTGAGGCCTGGGGTACAATTCGCTGTGTGTGTGTTTGACTGCGCACCCGGCCAGGCGTTTGGCTGCTATTCGTGTGGGTTGGCAAATGACCAAGTTGGCGCTCGGGTCGTCTAGAAGGAGCATAAGTGGGATCTGATCGACCAACCCGGCCCACAGAAGCAGACAGAGCACGCAACAAGTACACGGACGGTTGGAGGTAGGTGCATAAATGATGAATTCATTACCCGGGTGGACTTCCCTGTTCCTGTGTCCCCCGTGACAAACGTAAAGGTGTGGATCCGCACTGCCGACAGCAAGCTCTACACCACGCACACAGCACACAGAGACAGACAGACAGACAGACACGTGTGAGAGTGTATGTGTCGGCTGGCAGCCAACCAGGAAGGACGTGTGTGCATACCTACCTCGACTACTAGGTTGGCGCGCAAGAACTCGAGGTGTCTCATCGGGTCCAAGATGCGGAGGACGTCGTCGTCGGTCACGTCGGTAAGCTGAGCTGCTTGTCCTCTCTGCGTGCACGGCAGCTCGTCCTGCACACACACACGCACACACACACTTATATAAATAAAAAGTCCCATGCTCTCTTCTGCCGATAATAAGCGTTGATCTATCCTTTGCGTCGATATCATGTATAATAAGGAATCTCAGCACTTCTCCTTTTTTTGTCATCCCCTAAACACACAACACAAGACCATGTCTATCTGTCTACATGTGTAGCATATTCGCAATCACTTTTAGATACACAGAATAGCGCCCGTACACGCCAAATCCTTTTCTCCATCATTGGCCTTCGATGTCGAATTCGCTTGTCACTCCTCTCGGGTGAGAAGGGTCACGCTCACACCTCTCTCGTCCTTGGTGGAGTGCATGGTGAGGTGGGCGAAGGGGCAGGCCCGTCGTAGCGAGAGGCAGGGATCTAGGGACGGGCCGACGACGAACCTCGAATGCTGCAAACACTCAAACACGCGCACGCATCAATGCCAGATTCCGCTGATGCGTCACCTGCTGCCGGGATGACGTTGATGTTCATGTAGCCCCAGAGATGCTGATCCTGGCTTGCGAAGGAGCTGCGAGCAGAGCACGGCTATCCGAATTGATAAAAATGATTAGGCAGAGACGGGACGGGACGGAAAAAGTCGCGAAATTCTCGGCGTCTCGAATTGAGGCCATAACTCCCCCAATATAATCCAAGCTCCTTGACAACGTTCAGTACACCTCAGAAGGTATTGACCTCAGCGCTCACCACACAGCAACAGCTGCAATGTGATTGTCCACGGACGTGTATGTGGCATCGCCCTGGCCCCCTTAGGCATGCTTTGTACGTATGTATCTATTCATCAACCATACATAAAGGCACGCAATTGCACGCACAGGCAACACGTGAACAACAAATGCATCGACACACCACATCCCCATCTACCATACCAGCTACAGTCCCGTCTTTCGTTTGCCGGCCTTGTGCGTCTTCTCCTTCTTGACGCGATGGCCGCCATGGGAGTTGTGCTTGCTGCTTGGGTATCCGTTGCTGGCCATCATGTCGGACCGCCGCTTCTTGAGGCAGTCGTTGCAATACCACTGCTCGGGCAACGGGTAGTCAGGAGACAGGTTCTGACGGACAACAGGCAGCGTCAATGCAGGAGTGTGTGGTTTGTGCACACATCATCTCTGTGCCCCCTTCTCTTCTGCTCTGCTCACCACACACACGTCGTGGAACCAGGCTCCGCAGGGCCCGTCACAGCCTATCATCCTCTGGCATCCCTCCAACATGTGGTACGACCCCTGCCGGCATATCGGACACAAATCCTCGGTGCTCTCCTGGTGGTGCGCCGCACCAGGTGGTGCGATGCCGCCGCCCTCCACTGCCACTGGCAGCCCGTCCCCAGCTGCCGTCATGTCACTCTCGGTCTTGACACGCACCAGTGGCTGCTGCTGCTGCTGGTGCGGTGGCGGTGCGTGTGACTTGGCCTTGCGGGAAGAGGCGGTGGGCTGCTGCTGCTGCTGCTGCTGGTGGTACTGCTGGTGTTGGTTGGCGTGGTCAGGTATGTCGTCACCGTTGGCCAAAGGGGGGAGGGGCCCGTCATCGAATGCGTCGAGGCCGGGAGGAGGTGGAGCGATCGATGGCGGCACACCTGACCGATTCAGGACAGCAGAGAGAGCCACACAAACGAACGCCAAACGAGTGGCTTCTGTCCGCACAGTCCATCTGTCTGTCTGTCTGGGCACTCCACTGCCCTCTTGCCTACCGTTGGTATTGGTCCTAGCGGTCTGGTGTTTGGATTTCTTGCTGGGGTCGCGGGACTTGTTGCGGCCCTCTTGCTGCCCCTGCTGCCGATGTTTGGACCGCTTCTGTGCCGGCCCGTCCACATCGCCAGCTACGCTGCTGCCGCCGCCACCCACACTACCACCCGCACCAGCAACGAGGGAACCGGCCTGCATTGCATGAGGGACACAACACCACACAGACACACACACACATACACACACACACACACACACAGGAGATGAGCAGACGTTGTTGTGCGTGCGCGCCTGTGTGTTGTGTGGGTGCATCCATCCATGTTGCTCACATCGTCCCGTTCCCGTTTGATTGCTCCCTCTCCCCCGGCCGCCATGAGCATGTCATCCTGCACCTCACGCCACTGCCGCAGGTCGCCGTCGACCTCCTTGAGCTTCTTCTTGTAGAAGCAGATGATGGCCTCCATCTTCTCGCACACACGCAGCTTCTCCTCATGGTTGGCGCGCTTGGCCATCTGCAGCTCTGCGATGCGCCTCAGCTTCTCGTGCTGAAACGGCTGGCCCGTCTGGTCCATCTCTCGCCTGGCCCGGCTCCTGTCGGCCTTGGTGTACTCGCGGAGGGCGCTGAGGTACTCGTGCTGCAGCGACTCAAGCTCGTTGTTAATGATGTTGGCCTTGCGGTCCAGCTCTCGTACAAGGGCCAGGTGGCGCGTGACCCAGCCTATGACACACACCACGGCAGCAAACCGTCAGTGTACATGTTTTGTTGCATTCACTATTCAGGCGCACCTGGTACGGGAGCCACCTCGTCGAGGAAGTGATCGAACTTATCCTGTGCGGCATTGGCGTCGGCAGGCGGCGTCGGCCAGGAGGGCGAGGGAAGGTACATGGGAGCCACTGGCAACTACCTGCGAGCTAGCGATCGCTCAGGGATTCTCTCCCTTCGGTTCCCTTCCTTCTCAGGCCTCAAGTCTGTAGCAGAATCATCACTCGTCTATCATTCCAACGAATGCTCATTGCAAAGCGCAGCCCCGTCCATATTCCTTCTATGTAGCATTTCCCCCCGAGCTCTGCAGGTAGGCGTCTTGAGCCCTTCAAGTGTTTTCCCCCGTCATCGCTCGCTGCCACGATGGTGGTGGTTTCACGAATCGCCGCTGTCAACGAAGTCAGCATGGCCCTCACAGAGAAAACACGCCTTCCATCTATCCTTCCCTCTCTGCATGTGCCATGTGTGCAGGGGATTCATCACCTTCACCGGTTCGATCGGCCAATTGGGCCTTCCCGAACGGCATCCCAGAAGGGCGGGACGTCGCCACTGAGTCCGTCCAAGACCATCTTGAAGCGGAGCGCCACTAAGGACACCGAACAGAGTGTCGGCAGTCAGCACATCACCGATGACGTCCTGGAAAAGTACAAAAAGCTGGACGTGCTCGAGGTGGAGGAACTCAACTCTGACAAGGACACGCCATTCGTCGACAAGGCTTTCTTCAACCTGGGGATCGGCGTGGTCATCATGCTCAATGTAAGGACGGCTGCTTCCATTTCTCTCTCTGCCTGTGTACACGTGACTGTGATTGTAGGCTGCGTATATTGGGATAGAGGTGGACCTCGGGAAGCCCTCGTCGACGCCCATCAAGGACCGCATCGGCTGGTACTTGGTCGAGAATGTCTTCACAATCACATTCACAGGTATGCATACGTCAAGGACAGAGTGACCTGTCTTCCTTTCTCCTCTCTTTTCGTCCAGCCGAGATGATTTTGCGCCTGTACTACACTCGTTTTCGCTACTTTACCGACATGTGGAACTTGCTCGACTGTGCTCTCGTGTTTCTGGGCTTGGTGGACACCTACGTGCTGACATTTATCGGACAAGGAGGCAAGCTCAGGGCCCTCTCAATTTTGCGAATCGCGAGGATGCTCCGTCTCGTGAGGCTTGTTCGGCTGCTGAGGATGTTCAGAGAGCTATGTAGGCGGACAAAGTGAGAGAACGAGGAACAGAAACGGCGTGATGGTCCTGTGTGTGCGCATATGTGCTCAGGGCTGATTGTGTTTGGCCTGATCCAGTCCCTGAAGACGCTGGGGTGGGTCGCGTTGCTGCTGCTGCTGATTCTGTATGTCATGGCAATTTTCATCACGATAATGGTGGGCAGAGGAACATCGGAGAGGGATTGCAATCCATCTCTTTGGCATTCGATTTGCCGTTGTGGTCTGTTAAGGTAGGAAAGGAGCCCCAGTTTTTGTACGACGACAAGGAGGAGTTTGACCGAGATGAACTTTTCGGAACGGGTCAGTGCTGGGGGACTCCATTGCACTGCACTTGTATCCGATTCTCCCGCCTCTGTTCTCCTGAATACGCATTCAGTCCCTCGGTCGATGTACACGCTCTTCCAAGGTCAGTAAAAATGACGCGCGTATCCACATGTCTGTGCCCACTATTTGTTGCTTCTTGTTCGCTGTTTCTCCCCTTTGTGCAGTTATCACCCTGGAGAGCTGGAGCCAGGACATTGCGGTGAGCATCCATCCATTTCCTTTCCGTTACACTGTGGATTCGCATGTGTATATGTCTCAGCGTCCGATCATCAAGCGGCAGCCTGCCATGGTCATCTTCTTCATCCTCTTCCTCGTCGTCACCACTTTTGGATTGCTGGTCAGCACCCTCTGGGGTGTGTGGCTCTCTCTCATGCCTCGGTGTGGTGCAGAATATAGTGGTCGGTGTGATCGTCGAGAACACACTCGGTGAGATAGATAGATGCCTACTGCGTACGTCCGAATGAATAGCAGGCCTGTCTGTCCTGCTTCCTTCCCTGTATACATACTTGCTGTGCAGCCACTGCCCGCAACAATGAGGACAAGGAAAAGAAACAAATGGAGCTGGAAAGAATGCGCGTGCTCAAGCATCTGAGAGATGTCGGCACCGCGCACTACACTACACGGACCACTCCAGACGCGCATACACAAACACATTGATTGACATGAAACCCCTCTGTGCAGATATTTGTCCTGTCTGATGCGGACCAAAGCGGAACAATCACTCTCGAAGAGTTCAGGTGCGGAGCATCGACTCATGCGAGGCTGCAAGGGAGACACAGCCAACATATTTGTGTGCGTGTCTCAGGGGCGCCTTTGACAATCCCGAGGTCTATGAGCTGCTTAGACAGATCGAGCTGCCAATACACGAGGCAGAGGTACCTACACACACATCTCACATTCTGTCGCTTCCCGCAGTACAGGCGTCCAAGCGTCTGCATTTCCTTTCATTCAGGAGTTGTTTATGATCCTCGACGGCGACAATTCGGGTGAGCTGTCGGTGGATGAGTTCATCGGGGGCTGTGTGCAGCTCAAGGGCAACCAGAAGCCCAAGGACATGCTCGCACTACAAATGACTCTACAAGTGAACAGCCGTGTCATTTTCACTGACAACGTCTGTCTCTGCATTTGTGTGATGCCATTCATTTGCAGGCTCTTCAAAAGCGCGTCGAAACAGTGGAGGAGCGCATGCAGAAGAGCATGCAAAGATTACAGACACTCACCGCGAGAATGAAGGTCGCTACACGAGATATACACACATCAATGCACACTGATGATGACTGACTGATTGCCTGCCTCGTCTCTGCCTGCCATGTGCAGGAAATCAGCGCGCTCGCACTGAATCGGAAGTTCCCTTTCAGCGGCGGCGGCGGCGGTCAGGGGGGCGGCACAAGCACCAGGCGCACCACACACGCCTCTGCTGCTGGGGGAGATGTGGGCGGCACTGGGCAGGAGGGACAGCATGGAGGGGGCATGTTCGAAGACGACAGGCCGTACGCCAGGGACAGTCCGCCTCCCATCCCCCCATTCCCCGCCTTCCTACCAGAGAGCCCCGTGGCAAATGAGTAGATTTGTGCACAAATCAGTAGATTTGTGCATGTCATTCGTGTGTCCCTGATTTTGTCTCGGCTGCATGGTTCCTTCACCGTGCAGGGACAACCGTGTAGCTGTCCCTACCCCACTCTCAACGTGACATTGTAGCGTCGTGAAAAGCGTAGTAGATTTCTCGAGAGATCTGCATAATTGCCCCCATGTGGCCCCCAGTCTTTGCCAAGTGATATCGCTGAGTCGACGCTGACGTCGGTTCTCTCCCGCCTCTAAACAGGCATTCACTATGAGTGAGAGCGGCAACAGAAGTCGAGCATCGAGCAAGAGTCGTGCCACAGTATTGGGCCAAGAGGAGGGAGGCATCATCGCCAGCTCAGTAGAAGGATTGTTTGCTGTCATGTAAGACTCGACGGGAGCCATCCCATCAAGCACACCCGTGTGTGAGTTGCTGTGTGTATGAATGAATGCAGATACGTGCTTGATTCAACCCGGCGAGGCCTCGTGGAGGAGTCTGGAGGCGGTTTCCTGCCTTATGTGAAGACGACTATCGTGTTTGTGCTGGAGTTTGTGCAGCTGGTGCCACTTCTGCTGCCGGAGGAAGACATTGCCCACTGCCCTGACTTTGATTTGTTTGACTCACATTGCTTTGCGGACCTGTGGATGCACCCATTAGGTGGGGCCGGTCTCAACGGGCACATCAAACTGCAACAGAGCAAAGTGCGTGGCTGTCTGTGCAGGTTTGTTGGCTGGCAGCAGCCGTACTCAGTATCTGACAGTGACGATCGCCGTGGCTCTTCTGGTCGTTATCGCGTGTGTTGGGGTGGTTTTCGTCGCTCGCTCTTTCCAGACACAGGAGGTGCACCTCACTTCTGCTATCTTCGGCCTCCGGATGTTTGTCAACATCGGCATGTAAAGCTCTCGCAGCTGAAGAGCTGACATTGCTTTCTCACCTCGTGTCTTGTTTGTCAGTTTGACGCTCTTCACGACCACCACTCGTCTGCTATCGAGTATGTTCACGTGTTCGTCGCTCCAGTACTATGTGGAAGGACACATCAAGTGCTGGAGTGAGTGTGTCGCTGATACGCAGAGAGAAAGGTGACTGTCCACATAAGTCTGTTCTTATTTCTTCCAGGCCCGGCCCACAACGGTGTCTTGTTTGTCAGTGTGTTGGCTCTCACCATGTTCCTGCCTTTCTCTGCGCTCATCTTCTACCTCTACAACCATTTCTTCTTCTTTACTGGCGATCCTGCCGCTGCTGCTCACGGCCGCGTGGAGTTGCTATTCTTTCTCACCAAGTGCATCGTCATAACAACATTCATATACACTATCTCGACCTCGGGCGCGGCCGTCTACTGCTCCAGCCTCAACGCATTGGCTCTCTTTGTCATCTCGCTGCTGTCTTTCCTGCAGTGCCCCTTCTATGAGGACTTCACAAACAGGGTGAGAAGACCACCTGGCTACCATCAGAGCTCTCTGAGATGCCTGTGTCTCCGCTATGTCGTCTCCGCTATCGGTTTTACCTGCAGTTACGTCTGGGGCTGTTTCTTGCTCTCTTCGTCCTGCCGCTCAACACGTTCATCAAGAACGGCTCTGTGACGGCGGGCATGTCGGCGGCAGGGTTCCTGATCGGCATGGGCTCGGCCCTCGTGAGGAAGTCATGGCTGAGCGGCAAGGTGATGCACGAGGTGCACCTCAGCCACACAGACTTTGGTGAGGACTACAAGTATATCCTTACCACCTTGATGAACGAGATCGCCGAGAATCCCCAGAGAAACAGAACCTCATTCCTCAGAGGAGGGCCGGTATGGTAGTACATTGAAACCAAGACGCAACAAGACCGTCATTTCTTGGACCTGTCGGTGTGTGCAGAGTGTTCGGGATGTGCCAGGCGCCGCAGTGGCCATTGAGGACGGCGAGGAGGGATATGTCGGGAGTGAGGAGGGGCTGGGCGCAGGTCTGCCGCCGGCCACGTACGACAACGAGATCGATATCGAGCATGAGGTGATGCTCGACAGGATCGTGTCTAAACATCGCATGGCACTCATCAAAAAGTCAGCGGCAGGACGGACAAGGAAAGAGAATGTCTAATGTCCTCTGAGTGGTTGTCTGCTGTCTGCAGGGCGTTATTCTTCGAGACGGATGTTGACCTGATGCTTCGCTATTTTGTGGACGAATGGCCGTACCTCTCGCACCACGAGCGGCAGGTTTCCGTCACTGTCATACAATCGGTGACATTTGCCGCCCTCCACGGCAAGTCGAAGCTCTTCAAGGCTTTTGGTTTCGCGTGGTACACGCTGTTCGCCAACAAATGCTTCGAGGAGACTGTCATGTGCTACAAATACCTGAAGCTCGCCAAGCAATTCTCAAGTGAGAACGTACACATAAACAAATGCTTGAATGGCTTGTTTGGTTCGTTGTGCAGGCATCTTCCAGCTAGACATACTGTATCTCAAAACACAAAACAGAGATACACTCACAAGAGATAAGGAATACAGGATGTCTCTCGAGGGCTCATCATTGTGCAGGTATCTCTGTTACCAGCTCGATAAGGACATTGAGACGGCCCGACAGTCGTCATACTTCGGGGCGCAGGAGGGCGGGCAGCTCAATTTGATGGACCTTATGACGTACAGGAAGGTACATAATGGAGAGGAGGAAGCGACAACACGCGCCGTCAATCCGTGTGCCCCTGCAGTTCTCCCAATCGGCAAAAGACAATCACCGCAGGGCCCTCGAGAGACTGATGGAGTTCTGGAAACAACTGGTCAGCTGCAAACCAAGCTTTTCATTCTGCTCCTAATCTGTCTCTTCGGTCATTGCCAAGCATCGGTTATGTGTATGGCTGTAGACGTTGGCTTCGTATCTGGAGTGTCTGCAGCCGGGCCATGATCCAACGGGCAAGAAGCTCACCGGAGTGGCCAAGGGCAAGGTCACTCATCTCAAGAAGCTACTCAACAACGCCGTGGGGGCCGCCAGAAGGGCTGACTCGGCGTACAAGCATCTGACAGTGAACTTCAGCAAGAGCTCTGAATCAGGCGACAACTATGCCTCATTCCTTCGAAGCGTGTACCAAGACCCAGTCAGGGCCTCTTATCTGATGGTTGACAAGGAGGATGGAGCGTCGTCGCAGAAGGGGAGCTCGTAAGCTATATATCCTCCGCCTAGACCACCATTCTTGTCTTGTGTCGCTTCTGTGTGTGTGCATACCATACTTGTGTGTGACTGTATTCATGTGCAGTAAGGGCGGTTCGTCTCACGGCTCGTGGGGCAACAGAGAGGCTGGTGCAGAGAAGGAGGAGAGGTGTGGCTCTCTCGAGACACGCAAGCTGCGCATCGTCAACCTCCTCAAACTTGTCTTGGGGGCCGCATACGTGATTCTGGCTGTGGTGTCGCTCATCTCCCATTTCGTCGGCGCCCAGCAAATGAGCTTCATCACAGAGAAGATGGAAGATCTGGTGAGAGCCTCTCTCTGTCCGTTTGCCTCTGTGTCTCGTCCCTCCATCTAAATCCTCTGTAAGCTTTTTGTTTGGCTCACTCACAGGACCACCAGGGCGTCTTGTCACGCAAGTGGTCGTCTACGTGTGAGGAGATGAATCTGATAAGCATCTATCAGCAGACCGACCACGTTGCGCACCCCGAGGCGCTGGACCTCATCCACGAACAAGACATGCTGCTGTTTGCAAACGCCAACGACATCATCGACTCCTTCAACCTCTTGGCGGACAACTCTTTGAAGGAGGGCATGAAGGACCTTGTGAGCGTCATCAACCTGCCGAGCATCAACTTGACCACCTTTCGCTTCGACGGTGTGCGGGGCTGGGACTACGTTAACCTGCAACACCTTGTCGTCACCTTTGCCAGTGCATCCAGACAAGTGGCCGAAGGTCGGTCGGTGGCAGGCAGCACACCAACTGAATGAAGCAAGCTTGACTCCAAACATGCCTGTTGTCTGCCCCCCATAGATGCGGAGGGCGGTGCAGCGTCGTTGACGACCCCCCACTACAAGCTGGTCTCGGAGGCGTGTATCGGGGAAATTCCTGAGACGGTGCTGCACATCGTGGAGATGCAACTCTCCCACGTGTCCGACTCAGTGGCGAGCGCCATCACCATCTTCTCGCTGTGGCACAGTATCGTGGCGCTCTTCACGGTCGTGGCGTGCCTGGGCACCGCAAAGGTGGTGCGGCACCACCTGCGGGAGTACGACTCGTCTACTGAGATCGATGTAGTCATACGGCTGGCCGTCGAGACGCCCATCAACGACAGGAAAAAGCTCAGAAGGATTTATAGGAGGTAATATGAGCATACGCAGCTGGACAGACTTCCTCCCTCACTGTCATTCATGTGTTGCATGCCTTGCAGGCATCTGGTGAGCCAGAAGAACGAGGGGGACGTCGCGCGGACTGAGGAGTTCGAGACCTTCGACCCTCGCAACAACCAGCAGGCCATCGAGGAGGCGGAAGACACCGTTGTTGTTGAGCTATCTAACATTTTCGCCGAAGAGGAGAATCGGCCAGCCGCCAGTGACGACGCCACGCCGGCTGCAGAGCCACAGGCCCCGGAGAGTCCCCAGGAAGAGAGCCCCGCCGACAGACTGCCGTTGCCTATCTCGCCCATTATCCGACGGAGAGACAAAGAGAGGGGCTCGCCCTCGCCCAGGAGAGACAGGGGCTCGTCGCCGCTCATACACATGAATACACGGACGTCGGAAGCCCCAATGTCACCGCCGGGAGAGCGTCTTGACCGTCGGAAAGTGTCCTTCCACAGAGCACAGGGGAAGGGACCAGTTACTGCGGTCCACGAGTACCCTGCCGCGCCGCTCTCAGGGGTGCAAAGCGACGCCGCGAGGAAGTGAGTGCACAGAGGCAAGACGATCAGCGATGTGCACACTCACTTCTTCTTCCTGTTAGGGCTGGCATAACGGCAAGTGGGAAGGATGTCCATCCTTCCAGGCAACAGAAGGCGATAAGGGGAAGCGCCTCGCCCACATCGTCGCCGACCAGTGAGGTCTCGCCAGGAGACAGAAGGCGAGGCACCCTGAATCAGGGGATGCTTCTGCGGCGGTCGAGTGTGGTCGTGATGAGCTGCCGCGAGAGGCTCCACAGGGCGTGGACGGCCGTCTACAAGGCGTGTTCGGGCAAATACTCCAGGTCAGTCAGAACGGCAGCCGCGAGGCCGGGAGGCGGTGGCTGGACTGGTTGGTATCTGTTGAATCCGCGTGCCAAACAGAGTGATGCTGCTATTCTGGACCGTGCTGCTGGCATATCTGATTGCGAAACAGGTCGCCACCACCACAATCATGAAGGCAAGCCGACACGAGATGCAGCGTGGTTGAATGGCTGCCGCGGAGAGATATCTTGTCTGTCCATTTATTTGTTGGTTGGTTGTTCAGAATTTGGCCGAGAAGAAGGAGGACCTCGCGATACTAAAAGAGGTGTGGGAGACCAGACCCGCAGACGGGAAGCTTTAGCACACAAGCATGGCATGCAATGCATTGGAGCCCTCTCGTTCATGTGATGTGCCTGCCTTCATGCCCCTGCCTGCCACTCAGGTTCAGTTCCACCTCGCCCAGATGGCCGTCCTTGCCCCAGACGTCGTTGAACAACGCAGGTGTATAATCTATAGATACCTACCTGCATCTCGGCAGTCCGAATGCATCTTCCACGTTCCCCAATGTCTCTCGCGTCTGTGTGATTGCGTGTGTGTGTGCGGTTTGTGTATGCAGGATGGATTGGCGCCCCCTGGATCAGACCGCCGAGTTGTTGGCGGACTTTGGCCACGAGCTGGAGATCTTCAGAGAGGTGCTCAGCCGAGCCAACACGTGTGTGTCCTTTGTGCTTAATTGGTGGCAGTGTATGTGTGTGTGACGTGCAGAAGTTCTCTCTGCTGATGTGGTCGGGCGGGGCCAAAGCGGCTGCCAGGAGCTACGAGCCACGGACAAAGCTCTTGTTCGAGCCACAGTGCCTCCTCAAGCAAGAAAGTTGCGACGTACGAATGCGTATCTGTTTGTCTGTCCTCGGATGCCCGACATCCTCCGCACAGAGACAGGCCAATCATGTATGTGTCTCTCTCTTTCTGTGTCCATGCAGAATCGAACGCACCCCTTCCCTGGATCGGATCGCCTTGAGCACGGCCTATACGAGGCCATCGTCGTCTGGGCCCAGGTGAGGTGCATCGCAATCAATACGGTGCAAGAATCTATCCATCCAGTCTCTCTCTCTCTCTCTCTCTGTGTGTGTGTGTGTGTGTGTGTTGTGGATGTCTGTATGAGTGCAGGAGGGCGAGATGATGTTTGACCAGTATCATCTGCGGTACTTGCTGCAACATCCCCCTGCCGACCCGGTCGGCGGGCAGTCCCGGCTACGTCAAAGCTTGATACAGGAGATCCTCGACAAATACGAGGGCATCGACCTCGACACAATCAGACAACTGCCCAGAAAGTGCGTATGCGCCCAAGCCAAAGCCAAAGCCAGAGCTCCTCTTTGTGCACATATAACTTGCTCAGTTGCGCGCACCCTTCCTCTCTCTCTGTGTGTTCTTGTTGTATGTGTTGGCGGGCTGGTCTGTAGGATCACGTTCGATGAGCCAGAGCAGTTCTGGTTCACTGTCGGGGCCGTCGAATATGACCTCCACGACGGGCTGGATGAGCTCAAAAAGACATTCCTCGACGTACGCAAGCCAAAGGACCAGCCAAACAGACCGATACATGTCCTGCACGCCCCTGCACGTGTGGTGGGCAGGAGGCCAACGACGAGTTGCAGGGGAGCCTGAGGCTGTCGTGGTTGCTGACGGGGGTGGCGCTGTGCGTGATAGTGATCGCGGTGATATGCTTCATGTACCTGCTCGACGGGCTGAGGAACAACGTCCTCATGTCAACCACAATGCTCCGCACCCTCCCATGGCCCATCGTACACCACAACGAGGTACGCCCTGCACTTGCCCACAAGATAGAGACATACACGGGCGTCTCTCGACGTCTGTGTGCCATCGATGGATGGATGGACATGTGCAGCTGATCCACAAGGTGTTCCACACGGAGAATAGCGAGGAGGACAACGAGTCGCTGGAGGACGCCGAAGACGCCACCAATGACGACACCCAACACTATACACACACATCCACCACACAAGCCAGGAGGCGCACCAGCGTCTCCAGCACACAATCCCACAGCAAAGGCAAGGGCGATCAGAGGGAAGGAGCAGGCAAAGACAAGGGCAAGAAGCGCCCATGACCTTTGTCGTGCACCTTGTGGCCTGTCGCTCTCTCTCCCCCCTCTGCTGTCTTACTGCGTGGAGCCTTTATCCCCAATCAATTCCATGTGTGGTGTCCACTTTTTTCGTAAGGGTTTGAGGCCTCTTTTTCATCCACACACACACACAGACAGACAGGCAGGCAGACAGACAGACAGCGTGTGTGTGATGCGTCTTCCGCCGGTGTCTTTGAAGCGGGGAGCCGTGCGCTGCCGCTGGCCTGCCTTACGTACACAAGGCGGCACACCTGCCTGACGTGCCCATACGCCGTGATGGCTTGGCTGACTTTGTTGGGTACGTATGTATTAGGTCACTTTGTGTGTCGTTCCAGGCCCTTGGTTGACCGACAGACACGTACGTGGGCGTCTACATGCATTCCAGACGAGTGTGTACTCGAGTGAGCGGTGTCAGTGAGTGACACCGCTCTGTCTGTCTCTGACTGACCCTTTCTTGCTTGAGTCCTTTCTATCTATTCATCCTTGTCTTTGCCATCAGTCTCATCTGTCAGAGTCCAGGCATACAGTCTGTCGATCCACTTGCACCACACAACGCCATAGGTGAGCCAGGCGGCCATCGCCAGAGAGGCAGCCAGCCACGGTATCAGCTCGAAACACACACGGGGCACACCACAGGGAAGCGATGACACAACTGACAAATAAGTACACAAAGGTTGACACCACCAGGTACGCACCCACCGCACAGAAAGGGATACAAACATTGCTGTCACGTCCGCGTGATCCTGCTGGTTGCCCACCGATATTGAATGGCACCGGCTCCTCCATCAAGCGTGGATGCGCCGGCACGCCTCTGACTCTTCCCTCCACTTTGAGCACGTAAGCATCCCCACCACATAGCCCTTCATGATGGGCGTATGCATCCATGGGCCATGTGGGCACCCTCTGCCCCTCCCACATGACCGCCACATCGGCATCGGTGCTGAAGGCGATCTTGTCCTCTGTGTCCAGATGGTCCACGGCTGCCGCACAAACACATAGATCCCACTACGTGTTGTGTTGTGCAGCAAGTCAGTCAGGTGGCATCGCTCCCCCCTCACCTATCGAGTAATCGAATGTCGGCGGTGACGTCCTGAGATGGGTCGGCAGCTCGTTAGCAAAAGACAGCTTCATCACAACCGGCGACTGATTTATAGATACAGCAACCGAACCAACCGAATGAACGTCGCATTGCAATCACAGCTGCCTGCCTGCAGGTACTCTTACCGTGCCCAGGTATGACGGTTTGATTTCGTAGCGCATCATTGGCTCCAGCGAACACCGCAACAATGCAAACAGAGTGCTCAAACCTGCAATAACGTCCAGTCCACCACCAGAAGCGGATGGATGTACAGAATGCTGATGACAGTGATGTGCCTCCACCGTACCAGGGACGATAGAACGGGTTTTGAGTTCTTTATCTGGCAGCAGGATGGGCAGGAAGTCCGGCATGTCGGCAAGGGACACCCTCACCTCCTCCCGCATCAACGGCGTGCAGATCTGCCACAGGGGGAGATCGTTCGCCTCTCGCAGGGTCTGTGCTTCACTGCAACGCTCTTTGGTGATACCCACAATGGCGACGGCGTCCTGAAAAGGCCAATTCGATGCTCAGATCTGAAGCGATCAGATGGAATCGCGCGCGCAGGCGAGAAGAAGGCAAGCTGGGATGCATTGGGTCCTTCAAATCGGAGGGCTCGTTCCCCTCATCGCTCTCGCCAGCTGCGACCGTCCCCCTATGTCATTCATTCAGCTGAGGCCGCAAGGCAGACCAGCGTTCTTGGCACGCGCCACAAGGACAGCCAAGGATGCGCAGAAGACAGCCGCCGTGCCTTCACTGGAGGAGCTGCAGCAGATCCAAAGCGTCGCTGAGGTGAGAAACGCACATTGATTGAGATGATTACCGACTCACACACCAATGATCGATGGCTTTCTTTCTGTGTATTGTTTATGCAGGAGGCCGCGCGCGCAGCGGGTCGGATGATTCTGTCCAAGGTGGGCGCGTCGGTCAAGGACACTAAGCTCAACACCAAGGACCTAGTCACAGAAGTGGACGCCGCCGCCCAGGAGATCATTGAGGGCTATGTGAGGGACCGCTTCCCATCACACGGCGTGCTGGGGGAGGAGAGCGTGCCGCCTGGAAGGTGCTCAAGGACAAGGACGGGTGCATGCGTGGGTGCTGGATTGATGGATGGATAAACGTATGTGTGTCGTGTCTGTCTGTCAGAAAGGAGAGTGAGAAGGCGCTGCAGGAGATTCTGGGGAAGTATGAAGTCTGCTGGATTGTGGACCCGATAGATGGCGAGTAAATAATACCAACAAGCAAGGAAGGATGTCACATCAAGGCAGAGAGAGAGATGCGTGTGTCTGTCTGTCTGTCTGTCTGCACTGCGTGGTGGCCACTGCAGGCACCATCAACTTTGTCCACGGCCAGACCCTGTCCACCGTGTCCATCGGCGTAGCCTTTCAATCAGAGGTGTTGATTGGCGTCATCTACGACCCTTTCCTTGACGAGATGTTCACAACCATCAAGGGGCAGGTATGGTGTGCACGAACCAATGACGCACGCACACGCACACACGCGCGTGCCTGCCATTCCTCTGTCAGGGTGCGTATAGGAACGGCGCCCGTATCAATGTTGGAAGCGAGGCGACGCTCCACGAAGCTGTAGTGGCCACAGGTGGGTGGGTGCCAGCCACTCAATACACAACACGACTTTCTACGCACACCACACTGATTGCTTTGGTCAGGCTCGCCCCCCGCCCCCCGGAATCTAGCACCGATGCTGCGGGGCATCGTTGGGATAGCGCCGCTGTGCCGCACTCTGAGGGCGTTGGGGAGCGCCGCCATCATGTACGCATGGGTGGCCTGTGGGAGGCTGACATCCTACTTCGAGGTCGACCTCAACAGCTGGGACCATGCCGCAGGTCAGCCAGCCAGGCGACTGAAACACAGAATTGTGATTGCACCCATACGATCTGTGTGTGGCTGTGCAGGTGTGCTGTTGGTGACGGAGGCCGGCGGGAGAGTGACCGACATCGATGGGTCGCCGTACACCATAGCCACGCGGGCCATCGTGGCGTCGAATGGGCTCACCCATAACGAGACCAGACAGGCGCTGGTGGACGCCGACTGCATCAGAACTGACCCTGCATGAGTAACTGATGGATCTGAGGGCTGTGGACGTATGTGTCTAGAGATGCATGTGCTCATGGGATTAGTAGGGACATTTGTGTCGTGAGCAGAGCAGCTTTGGACGGTAGGTAGAGAGGAACGGGGTGCAAGTGGGGACAACACCAACACATGAACTTGAACTCGGTAGGTAGCTCAAAAATCCCTTAGGTGTATATGTTTGTATCGTATCGGTCTCTCCAAAACCAACAATACCCATGGATAGCTAGCTGCATGCCCCAGGTCACTCCGTTCCTTCGTGGCCCCTTCTGTGTGGACGACGAGGTGTCAATGCCCTCTTACTTACCATCCTCCCCACTCTCAGGAGACTGGCTCAGTACGACAGCACCGTCAGCCCGTCGTCAACGCCTCAGGACCCACAGCAGAAACGAGCAACACCACTCACTCACTCATACGTCTGCCTTCCCATCTATCCCGTCTGCACATCGCTATTGCCCATCCATGTTCTCTACAGAACGAGCACGGCACCCATCCATCCATCCATCCATCCATCATCGCGCACACAAAAAGGGCTGGCCAGCCAGCCAGCCAGCCGGTCGATCGGTCGGTCGGTCAGAGCCGCTTCACAGCCAACTCTCGTCGGTCAATCGAGTTCACTGCATTCTCAGACATAGGCGAAAGACAGACACACGCAGAGCAGAGAGGGAGAGGGAGAGGGAGAGAGAGGGAAGGAGAAGGACAGATGGGCAAAACCGCCACCGTCCGTCCGTCCGCTCAGACGAAGGGGAAGGGTTTGTCCGAGAGGAGGTCGCCCACGACCAGCCCGAGGATGCCCATCTGCGCCAGCCTGCCGTTGTTGATCTCCTTGTCCTGATATTCACGCAACTTGGCAGGGTCGCTCTCTCGGAACCTTCACACACACACACACACACACACAGAGCCCATTTCGTCCTTCCACCGAGGCCTCAGCTGTAGATCTGTGCATTCATGCATGCTTACCACCAGCCGGGCTGGATGTCGCCAGGCTCAGCGTCCTCATCGGTGAACTGTCTGCTGAAGACCACGGCCTCGAGGAAGGCCTGGAAGGCCAGGATCTGCGCGATGCCCGCTGCAGGCATCTTGCCAGAGATGATGGCGTCAATGCCGGGCGGCACGTCGGTGAACTTGAGGTTCAGAGAGCTGGACAGCAGCCCGGGGAACTGGTAGTAGAAGGGAACGACTGGCAGAGAGAGGAGAGACACCAGACAGACAGGGAGGGAGAGAGAGGCAGAGATTGTGTTGCCTTTGATTTGTGCGTCCCGGGCTGCTCACTGTAGCCGAGGACAGCGAGCATCGCCAGTCTGCCGTGCTTGATCTCGATGGCCCTCCACTTCTTGTAGGCCGCATCCTCGGGATCTTTGTCCTGCACAACACAACACACCCCCACACACACGAGCCACCCCGCGCACATTGAGTGCATGTTGGCACACACACCGGTGCATCACACATCATAGGCTGGCTGCCCACCCACCGTGAAGATGTTGAGGGGGTCGAAGTACCCGAGTGGCGGCAGCACGCCGGGCTCGCTGTCGAAGGCGCTGGTCTTGGTCGCCATCTCCAGCTGAGACCTGGCAGGCGACGTCCGAGACCTGCGCAAACGGAACACAACACCCACCCAGATCAGCGACGCAGCCCCTTTGCTAGTGGCATCCTGCACCGTTCTGCGCGCGCGTGTGTGTACCTGAGCGTCGGCAGCCTCCCCGCTGATGGGACGAAGGCCTCATCGCTGGCCGCGCACACAGATGCGACAAGGGCGATGCAGACGGCTGCAATGGCGGACTTCATGACGCTGGGAGAGGAGCGCGGAGGCCGGACCGACGGATCTGAGATCTGCAGCAGCGGTTTCACAGGGCGCAGATCTGATTGGCCGAGCGGTTTCATGGAATGCCCTAGCAGCCAAGAGGCGATGCAGCTGTTTGTTTCTGTCTTTGCATTCATTGCCAGGGCGACGGCAGTGCTGCACGAGTCGCCTGGTGATGATCTCTCAGCCTTCATCCCGTCCTCGCCACTGATGGGCGGTAGATCAGCCTTCACCAGCCGACCTCATGCCGACAGGCGGTGGAGATGGAGCCGGCGAGGCAGATCCATGCCGCTGCATGCGCAAGGAGGTGACGAGATGGATGCACACTGTGATGTGTGCATGTGTTGGTCTGTGGCTGGTCTGTTTGTGCAGGTGGAGAGGCGAGTGATGCTGCTGTGGTTGTGGACGAGGCTTTGGTGCGGAAAACGGCCGCCCTGGCGCACCTCGACCTCACCGATGACGAGGTAAGTGAAGTCGGGCAGAACATGGCGGGCCATTTGTTTGCAATCAATGCATGTGAGGTGTTCGCGGCCTTTGTGTGCGTGAGGTGTCGGAGATGGTGCACCAGTTCAAGGACTTCCTCCGCTTTGTGGACGACATGAAGGCCATCGACACGTCGCAACTCGACGTCAGCCCGCGCACACACCACACAACACGTGACGAACTCACTCCGCCATCTGGGTGCGCGTGTGTGGTGGGTGTGTCAGATTGATGTGATGTCGCCACGCGCGTCGGTGCCCTACCGCGACCCACTCAGGGAGGACACAGTGCAGCCGTTCGACAACAGGGTGAGCTCACTCACACACACACACAAGGGGGATGTGCGTGCGTCGTGAATGTGTGGTGTGTGTCTGTTGTGTGTGCAGGAGGCCATCGTTGCGAACATGCCCGAGGAGGAGGACGGCTTTCTGCGGATACCCAGGGTCGGCGAGATCGAAGACTGACTGACTGACTGATGGGCGGATGGCCGGGGACGCGTTGTACAGACAGACGCTGTGACGTGATGCGGGTGACAGACGGATGTATGTGCGCTCTCGTGTTGGCCTCGTCACCGTCAGGCTGTTGAGGTCTGCGTCTGCGGCGGTTGCGCGGCTGTCGACGCGAACATCAACAGCCACATGCACTGACGAGGCCGACACGGACGCATCCATGCAGGGTGTGTGTGTGTGTGTGTGACCACTCCAGCACCAGGGTTTTGTCCGCGTCCTCCTGACGGTGGAGTTGAAGCGACTTCCCTCGCAATCAGCCCCACCATCAGGGGTTCGTGGCATGAAACGCTGATGCAGGAGAAGGAGAGGTGTGTGTGTTGTATAGCCGTTTTCTCGTATTGGTCGGTGTGTGGCGTGTTTGTCTCGTGTGCAGCTGACTGAAGGGTAGGTTGCCAGTTGGGGCATCGATCGTTAGGTGCACCAGCGTGCCAACTCTGGTTTGGTCCGATGGATGATTGTCCGGCTGACTGACTGACTCATCGCTATCTTTCACGCACGAGGCGCTCATTTAAATGAGACACTTTTGTAGAGTCCATGTATATACAAAAGAGTCACTGTACTTACTGTATATACTCATACAGACAGACACACGACACAAACATCCACCGTCATCGGCATGACACTCCCCCTCTCCCACAAGGTTTTTTCTCATCATGCCATCACAGCTCTAGCAGCTCTAGCACAACACACCTCTGGGCTCAAGTGCAGAGCGCATGCGTCATGCAGTGCAAAGTGAGCAGAAAGACCCTCTCTCCCCACTGTTGTTTGTGGTCTGCCCGTCCTCACACTCATACCTTATGGCATCAATCACAGCATAGAAGAGAGCGAATGCAGAGAGCTCACTGACCGCTCCCCTTCGAAAAACAGAGGAGCCCCAATTTTTGAATCAACGCGAACCGGTTCACGGGCGTCCGCACCCCGGTAGCTCGCAAATGACGAGAAAAGGACAGAAATAGGACAAATCGACAGGGTGAGATACACAGGACTTATAGCGCACTCACAAGTCGCCCATTGATACCCGATTGATTCATTATATCTGTTGCAGATCTCGTACGCAGATTCAGGAGGCACCGCCTGTCGCCGACGTCTGACTGCCGTGAGGTCAGCGGAGCAGCTTAATGCACATCCATGGTGCACTGCTTGTTATTGCTTATGGTCTGTCGTCTGGTCAGGGAAGCCGTGCTCGCGCCGTTCTGCCTCACCCGAGACGATGAAACAAAGGACTCATGAAGCGTTTGTTGGGCGTTAGTTGTCTTGTCCTGCTGTTCCAACTTGGACCTCACCCCGCGATTTGTTCGCCTTCCCTCCCCTCGTTCGTCCACCCGGCGCGCGTGAACGCTCTGCGCAGCCGGACGGTACGACCCTGTGCCACAGATGGCTGTGAGCACAAGACGCGGCTTGAGGCGACTCGGGCGCATCGGCTGGTCCGCTTCTTCCGGAGAATCGAGCTGCCGGCATTCGGCGAAACCCGTCGGCTGCGAGAGATGGTGCATGCCACGAATAAGCAGCGGCCGTTCGACCGCATCTGGCTAGCGGAAGAGCATGGGGGGCTCAACTGCAGGGGGACCTTCATGGTGCTGATGGATTGCGCATTGGAAGACGTTGGTACGTCAGAGAGGGGGTCTGCTGACCTGTGTGTGACGGTATGTATCTATGTGTGTGTGCAGGCCTCACGACGAGGGGACCCCCCGACCCTGTGCGCCAGAATATTAAGGCGCTCGCAGAGGTCTATGCCTCTCGGCCCTTCAGTCACATCGAGGTCTCGGCCAGGGCACTTGAGCGGATCTGGCAGCAGTGCTGCAAAGATGAAAGGTCCGAGGCAAGTGCGGACCGACGAACGTATGGTGACCATCTGTGTGTGTGTGCGCGTGGTGGCAGGGACTTCGAACAGTTCTACCTCGACATGTGGAGTCAGATTAACAACGGAAGTGGTGCGCACAGCGCCGACTAACGAACGAAGGAAAGCACTCGCGCTGGACACAGCTACATCCATCCCTTTTGTGTGGGGCCGGTGTGTGTGTGTGTGTGTTTGTGTGTGTGTTTGTGTGTGTGTTCAGAGGCGCATGTCCAGGAGGCCTACGGTGTCCCCCTGTGGATCGAACTCGAGGACGAGTCCAGCCTGGACACCATGCATATGATGGCCGAAGAGCTGGACGTGGTGGCCATCTCGGAGAACCGCTTGGGCAACTGGGAGATTTCAGACGAGGAGCCAGACCCACACGCGCTTTACTGCGACGTCGTAGAAGGAGACAAATAGACCAGACAGACAAATCCCGAACACCCGACGGCGGGGGGCGGGGGGATTTTAATCATGCAGTCAGTGACTTGCAAGGTAGTGAGGGAGTGAGCCAGCAAATCTGCCCACGGCCAGCAGTGTTTTATGGCGTGGTGCGTGTGAGAGAGAATGTGTGTGTATGTCATCAGTGGTTGGGGCTTGGTGGGGCCGATTGGTGAGGGGCGGATTGAAGCATAGGTCTCCTTCCTGTTTGTGTGTGTACATAGATTAGATTGGTGACTTCTGGCTGGCACGGCACGGGACACACTGGTTCCCTGTTCAGACGCTATTCATCAACATCGATCACAGTTCTTCTGTGCCAGCCAGCTGACGTGTTTGTTGATTGCACTGCACACGGTCTGTCGGTGGCAGGCAAAGACCGACAAACAGATTATTGACTGTCGCGCATGGCATGCACACACAAGAGTTACTTACGGGGTATTCACAGAGACACACGACACACGACTATACCAACCGTCACATAAGAGGCATCAATCACATCACGTCACATCACATCCTCACATTTTCTCGCGTCCCGTCCGCCCTGTCTGTTTCCCTTGTTATATCCTTCAGATTTGCGCTGTTCTGCTGGGTGCGGTAGACGAGCTTGATGGCCTCGTCGATGGCCACCACCGGCGCAGACACCGCCATGACCACACCCCAGTTGCGCAGACTCAGAGGCGACACGCCAAACACATCTGCCAACACAGGGGTGTACAATATGCCTGTCAGACGAGACGTAACGACAACCACACGCACACAGGGAGCGAGATGTGATGTGGTTTGGGTGGTAGTGTGTGATTGGGTCAATGCATGTTCGCTCCAACCGTCCTGTACCGCAGTGGATGGCGATGGAGGTGGCGACGGCTGCGACGAGGTAGGGGTTGCTCCAGGGGGGCTTCCGAAGTAACGACTCCTCCTCTGCACACACACACACACACACACACACAGCGGTTGGTTCTCTTTGTTTGTCGACAGACGCGCCTACCTGATAGTGCGTTGAATGCGTTGAACATCTGGAGCATCACCAGGGTGGTCAAGGACAATGTCGCCGCCTCGACCTTCCCTGACACACAGACACACAGACAGACCGGCAGGTGTAATAATACATATGCACAGCACACGCCAACTAAGCTGAACTGACTGACCTGTGGTGAAGATGTCGCACGGCACATCCAGGCCGTACTGTGCGGGGTCGAAGCTCAGCGGCTGCCCGAACCGCGCACACTCGCTCCATTCACGCAGCTGCACACACACATACACACACAGAGATGGATGGATGGGAGGGGGGGGGGGGGGT